AGTCTATAGTAACCGTTTTCTCGCATTGTGCCTAACAATGCCCGCTAGCTGTGCTAAAATCACTGTAAACTATGGCCTCTCGTGGCTTATTGCTTACATTAGTTTTGTTAGTCATCGCCCTCTGCTCCGTGTTCAGCTGCGCTGCAGGTCCAGGATCTCCTCGAGAGGAGCAACCTGCCCAAAGAGTTCCTTGTGCCCTTTGACCCCCGGGTTAAAGCCGGAGCCATCCTGGTAAGACAAACAGTATAGTAATGTGTGTTGACATTAGATCAACAATCTTTTGTACATTTGTATATTTTTATCCCCCCCCCAAACTTACTGTGAAACTCGAAATGTATCAACGCGTCCACCAAATTTCACTTCACCTCCCCATGTCTCATCTCACCTCACCTCCCCTCTCCTCCCCCACCTCCTCATCTCCCCTCACACAATGTCACCCCACCTCCGCTCTCCTCCAACACCTCCTAATCTCCCCTCACACCAACTCTTCTTCCCCCTCCCCCCTCCCCAGCTGAAGAGCTGCAAGGTGATGGCGTCCAAGAAGAAGCCTCTCTGGCTGGAGTTCCAGCCCATGCCCTCCCCCACCTCCAACTCACCGCTGGGCATCATCTTCAAACTGGGGGACGACCTCCGACAGGACATGCTGGTCCTTCAGGTCAGGCTTGGATCTATTGGTCACAAGTTAATGGTAACACTTTACAGTAAGGGTACATTAATTAATATTAGTTAGTGCAGTAGTAAGCATTAGTTCCAGATGTGATGCCCACCTGGTAAAGGCAGGGACTTCTTCTCACAGAGTTCAGCACAAGCGTGCGGACGCTAGCAGGGTTATAACCAAGAGGAGGAGGTGGGAGGAGGAGGAAGGGGAGACTGTGGTGGTAGTCAAGCTCAACAGAGTCTTCTTACCCTGCTGATTCTGCCACGGCCGTTTCCTTGGCTGTGGTTTCCACCCTGGGTCTCTATACCCTGGAGACAGAATGTATCCAGGAAGTCCTTCCTGGGTGTGAACAGAGAGGACGACTCAATGCAACTCACACACAGTGGAACTGCTGATCTGGCTGTATCATGTACTGTATATCATATGATGACATAAAATAACCGTACAAAAGTGCATACTGTGTGTGTCTGTCCGCTGTGTGTGTGTGTGTGACTTTGTTGTGTTTCTGCTGATGGTCCAGACGCTGGTGGTGATGAATTCCATCTGGCAGGAGAAGTCCCTGGACCTGAACCTGGTGCCGTACGGCTGTATCGCCACCGGCCACAACATAGGTACGGGCCGGGACCCAACTGGGGTTGGTCTGGTTCATATGAAACAGACTGCCTAATTACTTAACTACAAATACAAGTTGGGATCGCAAAAAAAATTCTAGACCAAAAATGGGGTCATGGGTCAAAAAAGGGAAGCATTGCATTGTAGAACCCATACATTAGGCTCATCATCCACATGTGCCTTATGGGGCGGGTGTCGCAGAAGCATGTTAACAGTGGCGTTTGTGGCAGGGATGATAGAAATCGTGAGGAAGGCGGCCACCATCGCGGCTGTGCAGCGCAGCGAGGGCGGCACGCATGGTGCGTTCAAGAACGATGCCCTCTTCAACTGGCTCCGGAGCAAATGTCCTTTGCAGGAAGTCGTAAGTCAGGGGACACACTTTGGTTTATACTGGTTTATACTTGTTCATCGCTGGTTTACCACTGGTTTATACTGGTTTATCACTTATTTATACTGGTTTATCACAGGTTTATCACTGATTTATACTGGTTTATTAATGGTTTATACTGGTTTATCACTGGTTCATACTGGTTTATACTGGTTTATCACTTGTTCATACTGGTTTATACTGGTTTATCACTGGTTTATACTGGTTTATCACTGGTTTATCACTGGTTCATACTGGTTTATACTGGTTGATACTGGTTGATACTGGTTTATACTGGTTTATCACTGGTGTATACTGGTTCACACTGGTTTATCACTGGTTTATACTGGTTTATCACACACATGAAACTCATTAATAAAGTGATATAATGTAATGTAGTGTAACATAACGTAATTTAATAAAATAAAACACACACTGCTGTCCATCTGGTTAGGTTAGTCACAAAAAAGACAATTCACAACATAATTAACGAAAAGCCCCTGACTCAAAACCTTCCCAATGAAGATAGTGGATACAGTATGGAGACCTATCGGCTGACATGTCAATTATCGGTTATCAGATATTGACCACTTGAAATACTGTGCATCCCTAATATATAGAGGGGATCATAACAGAAGTCTGTCACCCCTCTTTCTGCTTCCAGCATTACAGGGCCATGGACATGTTTGTGACGTCGTGCGCCGGTTACTGCGTGGCGACCTACGTCATGGGGATAGGAGACCGCCATAACGACAACATCATGATCACCGACCAGGGTACACATCCCAGGGTAGAGGGTACAGTAGAGACCCCAGGGTAGAGGGTACAGACCAATAGTGGGGCTGCAGTACTAGTGTGTGTGTGTGTGTGTGTGTGTGTGTGTATGTGTGTGTGTGTGTGTGTGTGTGTGTGTGTGTGTGTGCATGTGTGTGTGTGTGTGTGTGTGTGTGTGTGTGTGTGTGTGTGTGTACGCATACACACGCATACACGATATCAATATGAAAAGACACGTCAAACAATCAAATGCAAAGTAAACTAAAAATGAAAATAACCATATTTGCATTTCCATTTTCATTATTTTATGTACAATAATAACAATAATACATACATTCCTGGTTTCAACATTTCCCGGTTTCCTAGGCAACCTGTTCCACATCGACTTTGGTCACATCCTGGGCAACACAAAGTCCTTCATGGGTGTGAAGCGAGAGCGCGTGCCCTTTGTCCTCACGCCTGACTTCCTGTACATCATTGGCGGGGTGAAGGGTCGCGATAGCCTCTGCCTACAGCGCTTCAAGGTGAGAACACGCCCCAGATCATTATAATGTCAACCATATCTGTTCTGTATGATAGTATAGTTATGTATATATTATCTATATCCATACCGTACTACCTATTTATATATGCACATTCGATTTATTTACAGCGCGTGTGTTAGCAGTTAGCTGTCCAGTTAACTAGCTATTAGCTATTGTTTCATCTGGGCTTGATAACATATTTGTTTTATACAGCTTTTATTGTTGGTTTTACACATTCTTTACATACAATGTATGTAGTATATATATATATATATATATATATATATATATATATATATATATATATATATATATATATTCTGGCTGATAACGCAGCTATACCTACAGTATAACAAGGTAGTTAAATGAGGCCTATTGCGGCTATTGTATAATCTGGGCTCGACTGCTCTTGACTTGCGCCCCTGCTTTGTTGCAGGACATCTGTACGGAGGCGTACCTGTCTCTGCACTCCCACTCCCGCCTGCTGGTCACACTCTTCTCCCTGATGCTGCTAACGGGCATCCCGGAGCTGAGCACCGCAGAGGACATGCGCTACCTGCGGGAGGCGCTGCAGCAGGAGCGCAGCGAGGACGATGCCCGGGAACACTTCCTGCAGCAGATCGCCGTCTGCGAGAATCTGGGCTGGACCGTGCAGGCCAACTGGTGGATCCACATGATGGCCGGCATGAAGTAGCCCTCTGAGAACATCTAGTACCCATCTAGACATCTAGTAGTCCATCTAGTAGCCCACCTAGACATCTAGTAGTCCATCTAGTAGCCCATCTAGACATCTAGTAGTCCATCTAGTAGCCCACCTAGACATCTAGTAGTCCATCTAGTAGCCCACCTAGACATCCAGTAGTCCATCTAGTAGCCCACCTAGACATCTAGTAGTCCATCTAGTAGCCCATCTAGACATCTAGTAGTCCATCTAGTAGCCCACCTAGACATCTAGTAGTCCATCTAGTAGCCCATCTAGACATTGTGGCCAGCCTCTAGCCCATCAAGAAAAGACTAGTTCACTTAATTACAGTCCAAAGGTGGACTTGACCTTTTATTGAGAAAGGTAAAAGTCAGTGGTTTAATTGACTGTGCATATATCAGAGCTATTTGTGTGAAAGCCTCTTTGGAAGTTAGTATGGTGACATTTAAAATGATTTTTTACTTTTATATGCATTATTAAAACACATATTCCTTTAAAGGCTTTCTGCTTGATCTTTGTAAGATAAGGAGATATGAAGACAAAGACAGATTAAGATGAAGAAAAGACCTATCTCTCACACACACACATACACACACACATTCCTAATGTGTATGGAAGCTCCTTCATGAGCACGAAGGATAGAAAACCACCCCCCCCTCCTCCTCCCCTTTCCAAAAAACACTCAGAAACCATGGCAACACTGTTGTCAATGGGAATTGGTTCACACCTGTTGGCTTCCCTGCAATTTAAGAAGAGCCAAACCCTGACACCCCTTTTGCATGTGCATGTGCATACACACACTCTCTCTCTCTCTCTCTCTCTCTCTCTCTCTCTCTCTCTCTTTCTCTCTCGCAGGTGGGTCACCTTTGGGTGGGGGGTTGGTTCAGAGAAGCTAGTGGTTCATTAACTAGGACAGGAAGGAATGTGAATAATTAAAACACACAGACACACACATGGTTGTCACCCAGGAGGTGAGGAGGGTGCAGTGTGTTATGTTGCCCTCCGTGACATCACAGCGGTGGCGGGGGTATGGTAGCTCGTCGCCGTGACAACGGTTACCTCTCCGCTCAGAGAGTCAGTCGCACCTTCAGGAATACTTTGGAGATATAGTATATAATATTTTGCAGATGAAGGTACGACCGATGGATAACTAGCGTGGATTCCTGATCTGATATGTCTGTCGCGTATGTAAGTTCCTGTTTAGCATACTGTCTGTTTCTTATGCCACATATGTAACTGTTTCGTATACTGCTTGTTTCCTGTGTTTTATATAACTTCCAGTTTACTGTATGTTTCCTCTCTTGTATGTAACTTCCTGTTTATTATACTATCTATACTGTCTCATATGCAGTATAGCATGGGTGGCAGCTGTGAGGATCAAACTCATAACCCTGGCAGTGTTAAAGCCTTGCTCTACCAGCTAAGCTA